AATTGGCAAAAATAGGGAATTATTTAATTTTAACTGCAGAATTATTAATAATTAATATTTTTAAACGAAATGGTGCTAAGGAACTGTTTTGGGGGGATGCCGAATGTAGGTGTACTCAAATTTTTTGAAAAAAATCGCTAATATGATTTTTTTGCAAATTTTCACCACAAAAACTTTATTAAGAAAATCCTTGTTTTTTGTGAAATAACATGACATTGACCCCTAAAGTACATTTTTTGAAACTTTATATTTGAAAAAATCATCAAAAATCGGACTATAAACACAGATTTTATGGAGGTCTTGAGTGGTCATACTGTATATATATATATATATATATATATATATATATATATATATAGATATATATATATATATATATATATATATATATATATATAGCAGGGTGAGTTTCCTACGATGTTCTCTATAGGCATCTCTTCGAAACTATTGGAGATAGAGAGTTTGGTTAAATGGGGAAAGAATTGCAGTTTTGTGGGGGTCATAAATATGCGCATTTCAGATTTTGAAAAGTTCATGGTTTAATTAGATATATATATATATGTATATATATATATATATATATATAGCAGAGAGAGCATAGCAGAGTATATACAGCAGCATATATATATATATATATATATATATATATATATATTTCAGATTTTTGAAAAAGTTCATGGTTTACTAGATATATAGTATAGCAGTTAGCAGTATATATATATATATATATATATATATATATATATATATATATATGTTGAGTATATATATATATATATAGTTATATATATATAGTATATATATATATATATATATATATATATATATATATATATAGCAGCATATATATATATATATATATATCGAACTGTGTCCTCTCCGTGAGACAAAGTTTCGTACTTACAGAGAATGCCCTTCTCTTTGTGAGAGGGATTCCTATTATATGAGGTTCTAGATCTCTCAATCAACAGAGTACTATAAATGCCGAAGTTTTGTTATCTCCCAGCAATGAAATAATGTATGCAAATAATTGAAATCTCGAAATATGAAAATTGGAGGCAATGGTATAGGGAATGTCATAATATGTAACAGACTTTTGTTTCCCTAGTGAAACAAAATTTTGTACTTTTACAAAATGCCTATCTCTGTGTGAGAGGGATTTCTTTTTTTATGAGATTTTAGATCTCGCTCTCAAGAGAATATTATTTAATGAACAATTTTCTTTTTACTTTTTATTTTTTCTCTACTTTCGATTTTTCGAAATTAGAAAAAATACATAGCTAAAGGCAAGAAAATATTATTTATTAATTTGAGAATATTATTTATATATTTAGGTGCCAAATGGTTGTATCTCCCAGTGAGACAAAATTTCGTACTTTTAGAGAATGCCCATCTCCGTGTGGGAGGGATTTATTTTATACGTTATCGATAGCCTTATCGAAAAATTAATTACACACATGTAAGTGTTTTAGAATATTTATTTTTAGATATATAATATATATTGAATGGAAATATATATATATATATATATATATATATATATATATATATATATATATATATATATATATATATATATATATATATATATATATATATATATATATATATATATATATATATATATATATAGGTGAGTTTCCTACGATGTTCTCTATGGGCATCTCGGAAATTATTGTTAGAATATTTATTTTTAGATATATAATATATATTGAATGGAAATATATATATATATATATATATATATATATATAAGTATATATATATATATATATATATATATATATATATATATATATATATATATATATATATAGGGTGAGCTTCCTACGATGTTCTCTATGGGCATCTCAGGAAACTATTGGAGAAAGTGAGAGTCGGTTAAATGGGGAAAGAATTGCAGTTTTGTGGGGTCATAAATATGCGAGCATTTCAGATTTTAAGAAAAGTTCATGGCTTACTAGATATGCGCGAAAAAAACAAATTTTGGCTATTTTAAAAATTGTCCCTAATTCCATTACAATCTATTTTAGACAAAAAGTGTTCAGATAAAAGTTGTAGATAATCATATTCCTAATGAGTTTGTGTTCTTCGATTTTTCATAAAACCTGTCATTTTTGACATATGACACAAACATATGTTTTTTTAAATTGAAACCATATTTGGCCATGACTTCATAAAAAGCGCCATTTTTTAAGCTTTTCAGCAATATAAGCTATAATATGTTTCATTCACAAAATTACTCAGTTATAGCCAATTCTTATAATTCTTGACTAATTTCACTTAGTTAGCCATGGAAACAAGTTCAATCGTCGTTGCTCTCAGAAATGTGAAATTGTGTCACATCCAATCTTTGTAAATTAAAATAAACAAAAATTGTAAATAAAAATTTTTCAAATGAAGAAAAGCGTGTAGGATTATTGGTTCAACTTTTCTTGGATATACAGGATACGTTGACCGGTGAAAGTTACTTACGTTTTTTAGAGAACGGTTTTTCCATGGTGTTCAAATTTTGTTGTGATTTATAACTTATAAAAAGACAAAATATGTTATTAAACGGCTCTTTACAATTTAGATTACACAAACTAAAACTCAAAAAAATAATATCACTACGTACACTTTAAGTTATTTTAGAAAATGTTTAAAAAATCCGCAATTATTTTGAGTACATAAATGCATCTTTTAAAACTGAATTTCTAGCTATTGTCACAGAACGACCGGTCGCCTTAATTAAACTTCCTCCTGTTCCGCCTCCTTCGAGTGCCTCTCTTTAATTCCTATAAATTTTTTTGTAAAACTCTTGTTGTTAACCATACCGCATAAACAAATCTAAAATGGATAGGTCAGGTGACCGAGGAGACCCATGCAATTGGTCCACCTCCCTGAGTCTACATAATTATGATATAAATAATTTTTTAAATAACATTTCTTTCATTGTTGGGGGGGGGGGTTGGTACGTCATAATGAAAGTCATGTTGGAACCACTGTATTAATGTGTGAGCATCTAAATTTAACTTTTCTAACATGTCTTGAAAACCGTTTTCTAAAAAACGTAACGTTCACCGGTCAACATATCCTCGAAACTGTATGGCCGAGAAAAGTTGAACCAATAATTCTACACGCTGTTCTTCATTTAAAAAACTCTTATTTACAATTTTTGTTTATGTTAATTTACAAAGATTGGATGTGACAATTTCACATTTCTGAGAGCAACGACGATTGAACTTGTTTCCATGGCTAACATAAGCAAACAAATCCGTATATTACAAAGTAATATTCAAAATAAGTAGAGAATAAACAAAATGGCTTCATCGATATAACGACGAAGAAATCAGAGAACTGCGATCCGCACTGCACTGTGCACGAAAGACGAATGCATACCAGAGGAATACCGTCTGGAATACCGACATGATACCGACCGCCGCGCCAGGGCCGGCGCCGCCACCTAGACTAGCGACGGGAGGGGATTTAGTTTATAGCTTTAAAATTGTGCACGCAGGGACGTTACTACGTATATGAAAAATCAAGATAATACATTCGGACTGGACGCGAATATAATAAATATTTAAAATCGGCCAGCAATTTTTGATACCCCTGTACATCTGAGGAAGCAATACAATTTTTTAGTAAAGTTTATTTCTTTGGCTTCAAAGCCAGCACAAGAATTAACTTTGAGAAGTAATGTACAGGGTGTTGACAAACTTTTTTTTATAGCATGCACATTTAAATATCTATAAATATCTCAAAAACTTATAATTTATGCCCAAGAGTAAAAAAATGAAATATAATACCGGATGTGTGTGTTTCATAAGAAAAAATATAACTTTGGTATGGATCTTGGTTCTGACACACTCTGTACATTTGATAATAATTTTAAATTATGCACATTGCCCAAACATGGCCTCTCTATATATACCCATAAAACATTTTGTTTCTACATCTTTCCGTTTTCGTATAATCAACCGATGCGAATGAGGTGCGCCACCCTGTATGTATAGGTAGTAAGAAGTAAATTAAGCAAATAGTAGACACTCTTCCGGTGAAACGTTACTCAGATTGCAAATCTTTTCAAGGAAATGTCAAGGATTAAGTATATTAATATTTTATAAAGAAAGTATACCTGAAAGAAAGTATACCTGAACATATCCAGAAACTTTCAGATTTGAATCTAAATATTCTCTAATTTGAATCTAAATAAATAGGTAGGTACTTTAACTTAATGAACTTTTAATGGGTTGTTATGCGAAGAACTTTATAACCAACATTTTATAAGTAGATAATATTTATTTGAAAAACTAAATTAGAGAAGCCATTTCGTTTTGTTTTAACAAAGGAAATTGAAAATACCGATTTTAATAAATAATAATTATGCGACTCTATTTCATGAATAAATTTTGCATTTAGTTGTCTCGCTCTTTTTCAATAATTCAGATACAGTATCAATGGTAAATCTATAATACCAAAAATGATCTATATGTATAGAATTAGCCTCACAGTTAGTTTAGTCGTATGGTTTAGTTGTGGATATGACTCTATTGTATGAGGTATAACATTTATAGATGATCTGATAATAAAAGTAAATATAAAAAAATGTAATAAAAATAGGCCTGGTACATTATAATTAAGCATTACTTTTTGATCATAACCGTCCATTTTCGATACAAATACCCTACTTAAAAAAAGACAGTAAATGATATAGCTTCATTATTTTTCTCCATTTAGATTAAAGGTCAAATGAACATTTAAAAATAAATTTAAAAACTATGGGATGATCGAAATATTAAGTTAGTAAACAGTACCAGATTTTAAATCTATGAATACTTTTTTATAAATTTATACAAGAAGGACAAAAGGCATTTAAAAATGAATTTATGAACAATGAGATATTGAAATATTGATAGATAATTAAATGAATTATAAATTCTACAATATGCACTATGTTTTAAAAATATATAAATAACATTTCTTTCAAAAAAGATTAATATACTTTTTGTATTTACCTTAATTTTGTCTGAAAAGTCAAATAAACATTTATTATAATTAATATTGCTATATGAACTACTAGGTAATCGAATATAAACGGCGTCAGCGATCGCTATGAAATGAAGGTCGCTGTCATTTTATATATAAAATTATATGGGAAATGTCATCGATCGTCATTTCCCAGCCAATTGGACGCCGTTTTTTTCAATCATACGGTATATTAAGTCACATTAAAAAATATTAAGGTTTTACGATTAGGTTACGATTTTGTTTTCTACAGAACGAATGAATGTTTTTTTTAAATGTCTTTACCTTAATTTCGGCAATAAGCTGTTCTTTGGATAATTTATATTTACAATCCACTTGAATGGAATATTTCTTCAGAAGTTCCGTACAAGCAGGATCTACTGCATCGGCCACCAAAACTCTTTTGATATCCATATTATTTACGTTCAAATTTATATTATTGTTTAACAAGGCTGGCCAACGCTGTATCGTCTCCTAGCGGTTGCGGTCTACTGTTCTGTTTGTGTCGGTCCACAAGCAACTGTAAATGGAACCTGTTTATAAATTTGAAGAATGCAATAAGTCAAAGACCATCCATATCACAGCGTTATCATTAGTTTTTGTTTTACGCGATCCCCAGCAGAGAATAAATCTATATTTAGGACTGTGGCGTAGGTAATATAAATTATAAAAATAAAAAAGGCCTGTTATTTCATATTGATTAGTAAATAATAGTTAAGTCGTTAAGTCCATCCATCAGTAGCGGCTCGTGAGTTTTAAAAGAAAGTGGGCACAATCCGCACAAGAAAAAAACTTATCTGGGGGGCACGGCTCAGTGGTGTAGCTGTCATAGGATAATTCGGTGCAAAGCACCGGGGCCCCGCAGAGCCATTCAAAAAAAATATTTAATGAAAAATATACATTAATTTGGTTTTGTCTTTTACTCAGGGGCCCCCAAAAATATCTTGCACCGAGGCCCCCAGTTGTTAAGTTACGCCACTGGCACAGCCGTACCATACTTTTCTCGAAGGTATTAGCGTCACTTTTGACCACCCTGTAACTTCGTTGTGGATAAGAACGAATATTAATTTTCACTATACATGAAGACATACTATAGCTGACTACGATGCCAAAATATCTAGTAATTATACCTCATAGCTTCTGAATAATTATCGTTTGTCAAATTTCTTTAATTTCGCCATTGACTCACTGACAGATCATCAATATTCTAAGGTACCTACTTCTAAATGTGTCACAAACTTCAAATTTCGAATTTTATGTAGCTAAGCTAAACGCACACTGGTGCGATCACAGCCGCGATCACGATCACGATCAGGGCAGCGATAACATGAGCGATCATTCTAGCACACACCAACGCGTTCACGTTCACGGCCGTACCTATATGTAGTGCGCCATCCTGTAGGTATACATAGGTACAGATTAAAAATGTGAATTATGTATACCGAAATAAAAACATTCTTAAATATTTACCTACAATATTAAAACTTAAACAATAAAATGTCTATATAATGTACTATCCAATCCAATTGCAACTCCAATTTTGTCTCAAACTTTTTATTTTTACTTCTATTATTTTTGTAACTTGGATCGGATAAATCATATAGAATTTTGTGTATTTTAATTTTTTACAGCCTTAATTAGCTGCTCTGTGTAGGTTTTTTCCAAATTGCAACAAGAAAAAACACAAAATAACGGAAACTTCCTATCAGTTGGGCGATCACGGCCGCGATCACGATCTCCACGCGGCCGCGGCCAAAAGTTGCTGAAGAATACATATGAGCCGTTTCACATTGGCGCGATCGAGTTTTGGAGACCAAGCGGCCTGGCGGCGTTCTATTCTGCGGTGGCGATCAGATTCAACTTGTCGAGTTTGATCGCGTGATCGCGACCCAACTGATAGGAATTTTCCGTTATTTTGTGTGTTTTTTCTTGTTGCAATTTAGAAATGGAGTTAACAGAGCAGCTAATTAAGGCTGTAAAAATACACAAAATTCTATATGATTTATCCGATCCAAGTTACAAAAATAATAGAATTAAAAATAAAAAGTTTTAGACAAAGTTGGAGTTGCAATTGGATCGGATAGTGCATATGTATACATTTCTATTGTTTAAGTTTAAATATTGTAGGTAAATATTTCAGAATGTTTTTTTTCGGTATACATAATTCACATTTTTAATTTGTACCTATGTATACCTACAGGATAGCTCACTACATATAGGTACGGCGGTGAACGTGAACGCGTTGTTGTGTGCCAGAATGATCGCTCATGTTATCGTTGCCCTGATCGTGATCGTGATCGCGGCCGTGATCGCACCAGTGTGCGTGGAGCTTTAAGCTTATAATGGAAGGAAAAAATGAAAAATCTCCGAAATATCCTTATGGATTAAATTTAGCTGTCTAGCCGCTACCGAAAACTAGCATTAATTGGAGCGGTCTCTTCTGATTTTATTTGTATATCAATGTACGAACAATAATTAAAGGATTATGATTTTTTTCTCGTCAAACTTCTTTAACTTCGCCAGTGACTCAATCGCCGTCATCAAAATTCTAGGGTACTTCTAGATGTGTCACTAACTTCAAATTACGCGCTTGTGTGTCACGGCCTTGATTTTTTACTCTCACCGCGCGTTAAGAAGTTTCACTTTAAAAATATATCTTATCTCAACATAAGTAGTAGGTAACCTTGAGGGAAATCAGATTATCCCCACAAGATTATTTTGGGCATATTTGAAAAATGACAAAGAGAAAATATATTTATTTTATAGAGAAAAAATAATTGGTATTAAATAATTTTATTTCTTAAAATTAATATGTCGCCCTGATGTTGCGCTCGTGCTATTTACGTTCATATCTAAATGGTGTAATTATCGCGCTATTACCAATTACGACTTGTTTTGAAATCAAGTTTGAAATAATATTTTTTTATTTATTTCGAAACTTATCAAAAATCTGATAAAAATAAAGTCGAGTTGTCAAGTCCTGCGAGAAACATTAAAATTATATTTTTTGGGGGTTTTAAGTGTACGATATAGAACACGGTCGACATTTTGAACACCTGTAGCAAAATCTCATGTCTTGGTTTGCTATTAATTTTAATTTTTATTGATATAATTTAAATGTGTTGATGTTGTTAAGTAGAAGTTTAAATTGTTAAAAAATTCTGTCTCTCTCATGGCAAATATTATTTTCGTTTTAATTGCTGCTCACAGCCAGAATTTTTCATTGTTCACAGCCGGCGCCGTGCCGTTCAAAGCCTACTTATTCAAAGTGGACGAATTTTTAAAAAATCTATATCTCGAAGAGGAATCTAGCAAAATATCAAGTATGCTATATTTTTGGAAAGGTAATTTTAAATTCTTTTCAATGAATTAAAAATATACAGGGTGTCCCATCTAAAAAATCAAATTTTCTATTGATAATTCTTAAATTATTAATTAAAAAAAATTACTAAATACTTTTTTTGTATACTAATGGGCTTGCAATATTTACTACCTGTACATTTTGTACATATATGTTGCTTTAAAAAATCTGAAATGTCAATATTCCATGGCTATATTGATAAATGAGGTCTAAATTATAAGAAAATGCATTTTCTACGAAAAATTGAAGGGATTGGGAAAAAAATCTATAATAAAATTTGATAGACAATCAAATTGTGCATATGATTCATGTAAAATATACAGGGGGTTCCATTTAAATTAAACAAGTTATTGCCGTTTAAAGCTGGTAATTATTTAATATGAATTAAAAATATACAGGGTGTCCCATCTAAAAAATCAAATTTTCTATTGATAATTCTTAAATTATTAATTAAAAAAAATTATACTTAAATCATTTAATTCTACGTAAAAAGGTGCTTTGGAAATGTTTTCATAAAAATACAAAATTTTCCACATCAAAAAAGTTACAGCGATTTGTTAAAAAAGCACATTTTTGAATATCGATGTGCGGTTTTCACCATCGATATGCGGTTTTCACCATCATGTTTTTGTTAAAAACTGAGATCCAGACACCGATGTTAGTTCTCGTCTATCTCCTATAGAAAAGGGTGTTTCCCTTTAAAAGCGTCCAATTTGACCCAACCGGTACACATAGTATACTAAATAACTAAACAATAAAGTTACTGGAAAAATTCAAGTGTCGTCCCTAATATATCATTTAAATTAAAAATATAATTAAGAACAAGCACTTCTTTGGTTGCTATATCAACAAAATTTGCCTTATCAATTTTCGCATCACTTGAATGTTTAGATGAGTTACTACTACTACTTATATTTATTTATTAATTTTCATTTCAATGCTTTCCTGTTCAATTTTATTGAAGATTATTTTTCTTTAAGATTTTTTTCTTTTAAAGAATCTTGAACAGGAGTTAATATGAAAAATTTTTATTTTGCCCGTTTCCTAGGGTTTTCATACGTATATCAATGTACGAACAATAATTAAAGGATTATGCTTTTTTTCTCGTCAAACTTCTTTAACTTCGCCAGTGACTCAATCGCCGTCATCAAAATTATAGGGTACTTCTAGATGTGTCACTAACTTCAAATTACGCGCTTGTGTGTCACGGCCTTGAATTTTTACTCTCATCGCGCGTTAAGAAGTTTCAGTTTAAAAATATATCTTGTCTCAACATAAGTAGTAGGCAACCTTTAGAGGGAGATCAGATTATCCTCACAAGATTATTTTGGGCATATTTGAAAAATGGCAAAGAGAAAATATGTTTATTTTATAGAGAAAAAAGTAATTGGTATTAAATAATTTTATTTCTTAAAATTAATATGTCGCCCTGATGTTGCGCTCGTGCTATTTACGTTCATATCTAAATGGTGTAATTATCGCGCTATTACCAATTACGACTTGTTTTGATCAAGTTTGAAATAATATTTTTTTATTTATTTCGAAACTTATCAAAAATCTGATAAAAATAAAGTCGAGTTGTCAAGTCCTGCGAGAAACATTAAAATTATATTTTTTGGGGGTTTTAAGTGTACGATATAGAACACGGTCGACATTTTGAACACCTGTAGCAAAATCTCATGTCTTGGTTTGCTATTAATTTTATTTTTTATTGATATAATTTAAATGTGTTGATGTTGTTAAGTAGAAGTTTAAATTGTTAAAAAATTCTGTCTCTCTCATTGCAAATATTATTTTCGTTTTAATTGCTGCTCACAGCCAGAATTTTTCATTGTTCACAGTCGGCGCCGCGCCGTTCAAAGCCTACTTATTCAAAGTGGACGAATTTTTAAAAAATCTATATCTCGAAGAGCAATCTAGCAAAATATCAAGTATGCTATATTTTTGGAAAGGTAATTTTAAATTCTTTTCAATGAATTAAAAATATACAGGGTGTCCCATCTAAAAAATCAAATTTTCTGTTGATAATTCTTAAATTATTAATTAAAAAAAATTATACTTAAAAAGGTGCTTTGGAAATGTTTTCATAAAAATACAAAATTTTCCATGTCAAAAAATTTACAGCGATTTGTTAAAAAAGCACATTTTTGAATATCGATGTGCGGTTTTCACCATCGATGTGCGGTTTTCACCATCGATGTGCGGTTTTCACCATCATGTTTTTATTAAAAACTGAGCTCCAGACACCGATGTTAGTTTTCGTCTATCTCCTATAGAAAAGGGTGTTTCCCTTTAAAAGCTGGTTGGGTCAAATTGGACAATTTGACCCAACCGGTACACATAGTATACTAAATAACTAAACAATAAAGTTACTGGAAAAATTCAAGTGTCGTCCCTAACATATCATTTAAATTAAAAATATAATTAAGAACAAGCACTTCTTTGGTTGCTATACCAACAAAATTTGCCTTATCAATTTTCGCATCACTTGAATGTTTAGATGAATTGCCTACTACTTATATTTATTTATTAATTTTCATTTCAATGCTTTCCTGTTCAATTTTATTGAAGATTATTTTTCTTTAAGATTTTTTTTTCTTTTAAAGAATCTTGAACAGGAGTTAATATGAAAAATTTTAATTTTGCCCGTTTCCTAGGGTTTTCATACCTCCGGATTTACCCGGACCTGTCCGGATTTTTAAAGTATCCGTGGCGATTCGGCACGCATATTTGTAAATTCAAACACAATTTAACTTAGTAAAATATTTTACCCCCCAGTTACAGTTGAATTACTTTCGCAGTTATTTTTTGAATATTTTAGTTTCTACAATGCTACAGCTCTACTTAACCGACGCATGTTCGAAAGTACCCATTTCTACAGGGTTGTTCACCACATACGACACGGAGTATTTTAGCTAAACGATTAGATTTTTACAAATTGTAAGTTTTGGGTTCGTTGAAGGACTATGGAGCTACAATTTAAAAATATTTTTACAAGATACAGAGTGTCCCAAATAAGTAAAAAATATTATAGTTGTATTTTTTCAAATGGAACACCCTGTATATTTTTTGATTAAGATTTGTCACACTTAAACGATACCGTTTTTGAAATATTTTCAATTTTATAGAATTGCAGTAAAAATTTTAAGGCTTCATTTCTCCAAGGGTATCAAAGTTTTTAATACCCTTGTATATATAAGAATATATAAACAAGGTTAATACTAAATATTTACTGAAGATTATTTATTGATCAGATATTGTGATGCAATAATAAAAATTTTACTACCATATACAGAGTGTCCAAAAATTTATATTAAATAATTACTAGCTTTAAACGGCAATAACTTGTTTAATTTAAATGGAACACCCTATATATTTTACGTGAATCAGATGCATAATATAATTGTCTATTAAATTGTATTATACCATTTTTTACCCATCTCTTCAAGTTTTCGTTGAAAATGCATTTTCTAATAATTTAGACTTCATTTATCACTATACCCATGGAATATTGACATTTTAGATTATTTCTAGAGATGTAACAAATTTTCAAAGAGTACATATGCTAATATTGTCGATATAGTTCGCTTATTTCATTAAAAAACTGTTTAAAGATTTTTTTTTAAAGAAGACCAATTAATATGATCCCAGTATTCAAACTACATTAATTGATTGTTTACGTTTATTAATAATAATTGCTCCAAATACTAAAACACTGAATTTTGTGTATGTATTGAACAGTGTGGTAAAAAGTAACACCTTATAAACTTTATTTAATTTTTTGAAGAATGCTTATTTATAAAAACAGAGACGTTCATTTTCATACCTTATTATTATATTGATGATTTCTAAGCCAAATCCACATTTATTTAGAATACTTTATTAATTAAAACAATTTAAAAGTATGTAATTTACTAATTCTTGTTCGGAAATAATGGTGGTATATTTAATTGGTATACTCTTTTACAAAGATCTAAATACTTTTTTTGTATACTAATGGGCTTGCAATATTTACTACCTGTACATTTTGTACATATATGTTGCTTTAAAAAATCTGAAATGTCAATATTCCATGGCTATATTGATAAATGAGGTCTAAATTATAAGAAAATGCATTTTCTACGAAAAATTGAAGGGATTGGGAAAAAAATCTATAATAAAATTTGATAGACAATCAAATTGTGCATATGATTCATGTAAAATATACAGGGGGTTCCATTTAAATTAAACAAGTTATTGCCGTTTAAAGCTGGTAATTATTTAATATAAATTTTTGGACACTCTGTATAAGGTAGTAACATTTTTATTATTGCAACACAATATCTGATCAATAAATAATCTTCAGTAAATATTTAGTATTAAAAACTTTGATATCCTTGGAGAAATGAAGCCTTAAAATTTTTACTGCAATTTCATAAAATTGGAAATATTTCAAAAATGGTAAGGTTTTAGTGTGAAAAACCTTAATCAAATTTACCTTTATTTTAATCGTAGAATCTAAAAATAAAATAATATACAGTGTGTTCCATCTGAAAAAATACAACTATAATATTTTGTTACTTATTTGGGACACTCTGTATATTGTAAAAATATTTTTAAATTGTAGCTCTCATAGTCCCTTAACGAAGCCAAAACTTACAATTTGTAAAAATCTAATCGTTTAGCTACAATACTCCGTGTCGTATGTGGTGAACAATCCTGTATACATTGGCGCTCAAATTTTTCGCTTTTTCTGCATTCCTGGAAAGTGAATGTTTTTTAATATTTTGCTGATTCCGGGACATATTATTTGCGTCTTATAGAAGTTCATCAATAAATGTATAGTTTCTTTTTTGCGACGACCGGATTAGTGACTGATAAAAGATGGATAATAAAAAAATAATAATATGGCAAAAATTTCTATTCATTGAACGTAATTTCTAAGATGACATCGTTTACGATAGTTCTTTATTATTTTAGTTTTTATCTGAAATGAACTTCTTAACATTATTTCTACGCAAAATAAAGTAAAGGTAAAAAAAGAAACATTTGAAATAACTTAGCATTTTATTTAAAACCAATAAGTCATAAGCATGGCACCATCCGCCGCTTTTTGAGTGTCCATGACACTTTCCTGCCTCACTATTTTTTTAATTGAAATCTTCCTCTGTTGTTCCGGAGTGGGATCTAATGGTGTCTCTTCTGTTACTTTGATAGCTGCCATTTCTAAATCTTCATATGAACCGGTCGTATCAGAAGGACTGAAACACATTTCAATAATAAACCAGAATCGGTTACTTTAACTTTGGAGTCACTACTTCAGTCACTACAAGCTACTACTTCAGTTGCCGAGGAATACTTAGAACCCCAGTCAAATTAGTTAAAAAAAGGTCCATCGGTGGAAAAAATTCTCACAGTTTTGAAAATGGTTTTAAACGATTTCTCTAGGCTTGGGCTAATATGTGTCGAAAGTCCCCGAAGATAGACGATGAGTGGGGAGGTGTTAAATGTCAATTTTTTCATATATTTTTTGCTTATATCTCGTAAACTATGACATCTACCGAAAAACGCTCTAAAAATAAAGCTGACAAAATTCTCTATAAAAATTATTCTATACATTTTTGTTTCCAGACTTGTTTCCGAACTATGCTTTTCATAAATTTGGATACTAAATCAAATGGCATATTCCAAATCCGTACAAACACATTTCTTTTTATTGCAAGTTTTCCGTTCAAATAGTGTTGAAGAAGTACGATATCATGATTTTTTAAGTATTAAGTATAACTTTTATTATATACTGTGATGTTATAAATTTTAGACGTGATGTGTTCACACCTTGGCTGCGCAAATTATTTGCTAACATGGATAATGTTTTCTGTTCATTTATTTTGTTTTATATTTTTGTGTAATTAAAAGAATCAAGACCGACATTTATGTACATAATATATTAAAGAAACAAAATAAATAATAATACATTTATAAAATAATAGCACAGATAATAGTGAATTATTATGTTTCTGAATTAATTTTTGTGGAAATAAGAAATACCTTCATAACAATTTTCAATTCAAAAGTATTATAATGAAAATTAAAGCACCTTACCTTTAATAACATAGATTTTTTGTAATTTAAATGTCATAATATATTATACGATATTGTACAAAATTAAAAAATAATTTGAAAGACGTACTAAATTAAAAAAGTAAGCCATACATGCATTATTATAAATAGTAAACTAAAATCATTTTTGTTGATTGAATACAAATTACTTGTTTAAAACGTATAATGTGGAAATAATATAGATAATTTGAAAGTATGGGGACTCATGTTATATATATGTGGATAACATTATTGTATTCAATTATTGTAGGTTGCGAAGATTCAGAAATCACACTTTCATATGCGCTTTTAAGACTCTTTGACTGGAAGACTCGGAAGACTGATAATATATTGGCGAAATAAATTGGGTAGTGCAGATACGTAAATATTTCACTTACGTTAACTGTACCTACAGGAAGAAATCATGTAGAATATCATAGCAATATACAACCTCAAAGAACCAGACCTCAAATGCTAATGCCTCAAATGCTTCGTGTTACTTTATCATTAGAAAAATCTGCTGCAGGCGTGGATAGAAATCTTCAACTCTGAGCAATCATGGACCATAAACCATGATTCTTGATTTTTGTATACTTTGTACAATATTTGCAGCTGCGCTAAATGCTGTAGTATACTTTTTTTTTATCGTACAGCAGGCATGCATTAATCTTTAACTTGCACTTATTATTAAGTCATGTGTGCACTAGTGCTCTCCAACAGAAGATAAAAAGTCACGATGCAATGAAGACTTGAAAGATAACATAAGGACCCCTTAATAATACCATTATTAATATGAAAGGTTAAATTTAGACTTTAATTGGATTTTAAATGCGAAAATACAATAGATATGAGAAATAGTGTTAATTTTGTCAACCCTGTAACTCTTAAAAGGTTAAACCTATGAAAAAAGTGCATTCAACCAATTATTTTGTCAGCTTTACTTCTATATATAGAGCGTTTTTCGGTAGATGCCATAGTTTCCGAGATATAAGCAAAAAAGTGAAAAAAATGACATTTAACTCCTCCCCACTCCTCGAGCTCAACGTCTATCTTTAAAGACTTTTGACATTTTCAAAACTGTGGGATCATTTTCCACTGATTTTTCTAATTTGACTGGGCTATAGAGGAAGAGCGAACTGGAGATGGGACCATGATATTAGGAAATTAGCAGGGATAACTTGGGCCCGCATAGCCAACAATAGACAACAATGGGCCCAACTACAAAGAGAGTATCTAAATATGTGAGGGAGCCTACACCATAGTTGGAAATTGTTGAATAAGCTGAAAATGATGATGATGATGAGTACGTCCCCACTTATTGGAGACAAAACAGGAGAACATTTATAAAGTGAATTATTTATGTCTAAAATTAATATTTTAATCCTCTTCCACTAACAGTCTAGTCAGTCATTGGCGTTCTGATAACCTTTAAGGATTGTAATATCTTTTATAATTTCCAGGGGAATCCAGTTCTAGTTCCGTTTCAGTGGCGATATTCTCAGAAACTTACCAATTACGGTATAAAAGGCAAAAAGGTATTTGCAGAGCATTCCTGCCTGATATTGCATACGAAATTTCTAAAGAAGTACAATAAATCACTGGACTGCTTTATATATATATATATATATATATATATATATATATATATATATATATATATATATATATATATATATATATATATATATATATATATATATATATAATATATATATATATATATATATATATATATATATATACAAATCAGTTTAGAACGTTCTTCGCCGTCTTCTGATTTCCAGTCTCCATTGGTCTCTGTCTGTCCAGAGGTTTTCGTCTATTCCTCTTGTTCTGATGTCCCCGTCTATTCCTTCTATCCAACTCCATCTAGGTCTCCCTCTCTTTCGTCTGCTTTGTGGTGTCCAATTGAGTACCTTTTTCGGGATTCTGCTCTCTTCCATTCTTTGCACGTGTCCGTACCACCTGAGTTGGTTAATTTTGATATCTTCTGATATTCTGTGTTTAACGCCCATGATGTTTTGAATTTTTCAATTCTAACTCTATCCAGTTTCGATTTTAAGGTTTCTTTCTTTCAAAGGCCATACTTCACTACCATAACTAATGATAGTTTTAACTATGCTGTTATATATTTTGTGTTTGTTTTCTTTTGATACGGCCTTATCCCATAAAATACTGTTGAGTTGTCTAATTGCTTGTCTTCCCTGGTTGTTTCTGCACTTAATTTCTTCATCAAGGCTACCATCGTTGGTAATGTGCATGCCAAGATATTTATATTTTTGGCAGTGTTTTATCTCTTGCTGTTGCTGTTCTAGGATTATGTTCTGTTGTTCGCCGCCGATACACATATATTCCGTCTTCTTAAGGTTTACCTCCAGCCCCCACTTGTTATACTCTTCAATTAGTTTGCGGGTCATATATTCCAGGTCCTCGTAGTCTTGAACCAGTATTATTTGATCATCAGCAAAACAAAGAGTGTAAAGTATCGAGTCGTTTAGTGGTATCCCCATCTGTTCGCACTTCCTTTTCCACGTTTTCAGAGCTTGTTCCAAATAGATTTTATGTTTTTTTTATGAAACTAAAGATGTTACACACAGATTTGACCTAGCCCTCTTAGTTCCTGAAATACAGGGCGAATTTGAAAATTTTCCATTTTTTTGACTTCTCTCGTTCCTCGGCTATCCTATAACTTATGGAAAATGTGAAAACTGAGTTTGAAACTTCTATATTAAATGTAAAATCAATCAGCACAATCCAATTCTCAAATGGATACCAGTTATATATATATATATATATATATATATATATATATATATATATATATATATATATATATATATATATATATATATATATATATATATATATATATATATATATATATATATATATATATATATATATATATATATATATATATATATATATATATATATATATATATATATATATATATATATATAAAAAATATATATATATATAATAAAAATATATATATATATATATATATATATATATATATATATATATATATATATATTATGTTGTTTAAAAATGTAGCAAGTAATTGATAAAACAAAATTATAAAAGAAAATAGGCCTATAACTAAATCCTAAATAAATCAAAATGGTTTATTCTAGAAATATTACATGTAATAAATAACTAAATGTCTTAATCATGGAATTAGTAATCTAAAGAAACATGTTACCAATTATTATTGTTTTTTTATATCCTTTTAAGACATATTTATATTTTTTTCTTGAAATAAAACAAATGTTTATTAATCTTGTTTGAACAATGATAATAAAACAAAAATGCTTTCAATATTTTAAAATAATAATACTTTATAACTTCTATGGTTTATGTGAGGTTTTATATACGATTCCAGATCATTTCTTTTTAACAATACTGCCTTTTGCCTCTAGTTCCTGAAAACAAAATGTTTGATATAATTCTATTCTAATCCTTATGGCAATCATGCTTTAGGTGAAAATCATACCATTTAATTGTTAGGAAATATAATTAGTATAGGTTATGTTAGTTTCATTCTGGTGCTCAATATTAACCAGCCTCTACACTATCCCCGAAATATTTTTGGAAATATTTCGTAAAACATTTCTGGAAATACTTTCAGAAGTAATCTCAAATAAAAGCCCGTGTTATAAAAAAACTAACAACCAATCATGGCGTGTCTCGATCAATTTCAGGAAACGTGGGAACTAGTTAACTAAATATCATCGTAACAACAGCTATTTTAGAAACGTCTAGCTTTACGTATTTCACTAAGATTTATAAAAAAAAGTTCTTTGCCTCGGGTACAGATACCGCCACGTTTTGGAAATTGCTCACAACGAAACAAAATTGAACGAGGCAACAAGAATCGCGAAAAAGAATCCCCCCATGCCGTCCTCACGAGTAGTTTTCAGCTGCTTTTAAGAATCGAAAGTAGGTCGAGGCAAACCGAAGTGGGTCAAGACAACTGGAAATAAATCAAAATACCACAAAGTTGGGCGACGAAATGCGACCTTGACCTGTTTCGAAGAGTTTTCCGCATAGTGTAGAGGCTGTTTTACACGAATTGAGCAATTGCTGATATTAGTTTATACCGAGAATCTGAACATGCTTGTCTGCCCTTAAAAACTCATGCATTTTCATGCAAAAATCTATTATGTTAGTGGAGAACCTCTGTCTATCGTCACTGAAACACTGAACTAAACAAATACTTTCTAGTAATGAATTCAAATAAATTGAAATTGAAAAGACCTACATTATTTATCTAAAAGTTGTGTACACATTTCAACAGCCATGCGGTGAGCCAAAAAACACACATGCAAGCCGAGCGCTGTAATGGAATGTAATGTAACACGAGCATTCGCTAATCAATACCGGAAAGTAATCAGCAAACCGAGTATTTCATGAACAACAACAGTGCTCCACTAAGCTGTCGTTTTTTAGCGAATCTCTTTGATAATTACATTACAAGTCAGTACAGGTTAGGCGATTGTATTCCAACTATCATATAAAGACGGAGATTGACTTGAGCCGAACGCTGTAATATACTTTTTCGCTGCTCGCGAACGTTTCGTTCCAAATCGATACGCGAAAATCTCTTTTCGAATGCTTGGCTCTAGAAATTATGGAAAAGGACTATATTATACAGAAAAGAAGCATATGGATAGGACCAAGTGCATTCGCATGCGTGTATTAATATTTTAGTGTAAATGATGTGAACACACAGCTTGAGAGCGCACACAACAGCCTCTAAACCAGAAGATTAGGCTTGCGGATTTAGTCGGCGGACTTGGCCTGTCACGTACCAAAACTCTCGTATTTTAGTCTGTGGACTGGGCCTGCCGATTAGATCTTTGCTTGATTAAATATTCTCGTTTGGGACAAAATTTGACGTTTTATACCAGGATACACGGTGCTACAAATTCGGGGTACGAGCATTTTGGTATCTCGGTAACCGTAATAGATACGAACATGGTTAAATTTGGGCAAAGTTGCGCATGATAAATGTTTATCGGAATAAAAACCGCCGCATACAAAGAAAGAACGTTCGTTTTTTAGAGCAATCTAATTTCACAGATCAAGTCTACGGATATCGCCTGTGACAGGCTTGTCCGCCCCACAAATGCAAAGTTTTTATCCGCAGGCTAAATCCTCTGGTGTATAGAGTATAGAGGGTTAGTAGATAGCGATTACATTGGATGCGAATTCTTAGGGCCGAAACGCATTAGGCTATTAATTGTGGTCCCGTCGCATCGCGGACAAGAACCTTATATATCTTTCCGTCGTTTTCTGCCAAATCGATCGGTTCGATAGTCACAGAATCGGGTTCCTGATTGAGGAGCGAAGGGACTGCGACTGCCTAATGCTGTCTGGCCTTTCGGAATTTTACTTCGTACGATATCATACGATGCAAGCCACTGATGTAAATAAACTGATGTCATTACTTACTTTAAAGGAATACATCTTAAACAATCATCTACTGTGAAATTTTTACCAAATTCTTCCCCTTCCTCTAAAGTTTGTGGTAAGCGGTGATGCAAAGTTTCCGGTAGTCTCAGACCACAGAAACCACCAAATATCGATACTATGCCCATTATTATAATGGGAAGAACTAATACTTCTGAACCCTAAAAATAGTTGAGTTGTTGTAAACAGTCGAAGATATCATTAAAGTAATCTATTCTGTGAGAGCCCTGTAGTTAACGTAATATAGCATTATAGTAAATGGAACCTGAGATAGGTATTCTTACCAAATAAGTCACAAAGGGTATAATTATAAGTCCTAAGCCGGCAATATAAGCTGAAGTTCCGATTCCCAATCCACGTATAGCAGTTGGATATAGTTCTCCAGCAAATGGATATATGATGAAAAATGACGCTGATATGGTTGATTTTGAAATTAAGAATAGAACCAGTGTGGCAACTTCATTATCTAAAAATTGATTATTATTTAAAATGAGGTAAGTAACATAGAAGTTTTAGTCAGCATTATTAACAATTATAGCTTAAACATTTTATTTTTCTAATTTAGTAGTTAGATGGTATGGAAGACTGAAACTCTTTTAATGTTTGTATTACTGGCACTATAAATGAAAAACACGTTACATCAGTAATCTGAAGTTATTCATCAGTAATGTAATCTATACATTAATCTGTTTTTTTTATTATTAACATTGAAAATGTTTCTGTTATCCTATATAAGGGAGCCCAAATCGAATTAAAATGCTACATTTGCCACACCATGACGTCATATATACAAGGGTATAGGAAATCTCGGCGCAGCGGCGGCAGTCGGCCAGCGCGCGCAAAAACCATTACATCGCTAATTGTTTATTGGTATATCTTTATTAGTTTAAAAGCAAAAAATATGGGGTTTGCTTTGATACCTTGTCAAGACATGAGCGAAACTTTTAAATTGTTTCTTTTTTTCATTTAGGCCTTCGTTTTTCGTTAAATGAAAGTTATATTAAAAAAAAATCTCTATTTTTAAACCAAATTTTCGCATGATTGAAATGATTATTCATGTTTAAAGTTTTTTTTTGGTCATAAGCGCTAATGGAAATGTTTTTTTGTAAATAATTATAAAAAATTACTCCCTACGAAGACTTTATTCTGTACTGGATCAAAAAATAAGTATTTGTTTTCTCTATACGGTGGTATTAATATATCGATTTTTGATGATAGTGCCTTTTTACCCTGTTTAATTTTGTACTACTTTCGGAATAAGGGTCCCCATATCATGTACTGTGATGTACTGTACTTCCATCCCTGAAAAATTCAGCTTGTGACACCGAAGTGAGAGGTAACGTCAAAATAAGCTTTAATCTACCTACATCATCATAGGTAGGTGTAGGTACTCTAGGTAAATTCTACCTAGACAGTAGCTGAACTAGCTGACAGTAGTAATTAATTTGTTATCCGATAAGTAGTTGTCATTATATAAGTTTAATCGTCTTATACCTCCTATAACGGTAGGTTTTGGATTTTTCCTGATTGGTTTGTTAAACAAAAATATACTGGGCATATAAATGTCTGTTACAGGTTAATTCGTTAAAGAAATATGTTACACACATATTATTTTAATAATAATAGTATAATAGTAATGGCTATATTATGTTATAACACATTATTGAATTAACAATTGAAAACAGTATTGAATGTACTTATTTTAACCAATGCATTGTTTTGTTTTTTTAATCTCACAAATAAGAAATATTTTATAGTTTTTATTATAAAAAACAGTGATTATACAATTTATTTACACCCCTTACACTGTTTTCTGTAAGGGGTGTAACCAGGAGTATATTTCGTAACCTTTTACGATATAAGAGGGCACAAAGTGTTTTATTACTTAATGCTTAAAATTTAATAATATATTTGTACATAAAATAAAATAGACTAGAAAGTCAATTAATTAATATTGACGTAATTACTAAATAAGTACAAGATTTTTTTTCTAATTATTTTAGTGTATTTTTAGTCACCGAATTATAAAGGAGAGATATCCAACCATTGCATTATTTTACTCACAAATAAATGTTTTATGGTTTTTATTATAAAACAACGATTAATTTATTATACACCCCTTAACCCAAACACTCCAAGGAGGATATTTCGTGACCCCGTATTTAAAGTGGACAAGGTTTATTAGTCAATGTTTTAATTACCCAGCGTCTTTAATAAAAATCTAATGTAATTTTTCATAGAAATGATCTGACATGAAAAGCAAATTTTATCAAAAAACTTTTTGATTATCTACAAGGAGTAAACCGCTGACAAATGTCTGTATACTAATGCCAAAGTAATGCCAAAAATACAAATTAAATACCAAAATTTCTCATATAATGCCCCACTAATGCCAAGCTGATTCCAATATAATACCACTAATACCACGAATAATATGTAACACATTTGTTTCACGAATTAACCTGTAACAATACTGGTAGGTACGTGCACAGATTTTTTCCTAGGTAACTTAAAAGTCGTTAAAAAGTCTAATTATATTTAAAGAAGATATAATTCCAACAAATTACATTATAAGGCCAATAATGCACAAGTAATACCATTAAAATTTTAGCGTTTTTAACTTGTGTAACATATTTCTTTAACGAATTAACCTGTAACAATAGTGGTAGGTACGCGCACAGATTTTTTCGCTAGGTAACTTATTAAGTCGTTAAACAGGCCTATAAAAGCTATAACAACATAGGTAACTAATATTTATAATTTAATTCGAGTTTTAATCTCAAATAATAAATGTTTTTACTGGTGTATTTCTGAAGTGTTCATTATTAAAAGTAGATATTCTTCAAGTTATGCGAAGTAATAAGTAATGTTTCCGGTGAGACCGCGTATATGTCACCGGATTCTGGTTAGTATAAAGACTTTTTCTATAGAAAGAGTTTTTTCTATATTTTCCTTTCAAAATAAGACTAATTTCTTCTTATTCTTTTAAATATTACAGTGTTTCTTTTTCCTAAAATGTTATACTTAATTTTCGCTTAAAATTAAAAAATCACAAATGGAGGAAAATATACGTTATTGAATAAAGTTTATACAAATCACTTTACCATAACAAAAAAGTAAAAACATGTCATGGCGGAAGATATTCAGGTGGCATTTCACACATTTATCTATTAAAATCGAGATTAAAATAATAAACTTGCGTAACATGTTATACACGAGATAGAAAGTTTCAGAATCGATTAATACGCAATACGCTACGCAGTCAACTTATTCCTATGCGCGGATGAGCGTCTTCAAGACTCTTCCTTCGGCCAGGGTCACGACGCCGCCGAAGAGGAATCGGCCTAGTTTGGCTAAACAGGCTGGACACGGTGGAGTACGATATTGGCGAGTCTGAATATTTATAAAAATTTGCAAAGTAAAATATGTTGGAAAAATAATTAATCCATACATATATAAAAGCTCAAAGGGTTTTTTTGTTGCATCCATCCCGCCGAAACCGCTTTACCAATCTTGATGATCCTTTTTTTTTTAAATGAAAGGTATATATGTGTAGATTTGTTATGAAGTATTTTTATAGTGCTTAATGGCTATTTCTTTGTGTAAAACGACTAAATACTAAAACATACCTGAAAAACACATACACACAATACCTCCAGAAAGAAATTATTTGTCATTGTCAGTGGTGTGTCAGTTAGATTATATATTACGTTTTTAGATATTTTAGAGTGAGTTCATGCCGCCAGCTTCAGGTACATAAATATTAGCACAAAAGTTCCTTTAAACGACATTAGTGAATTAGCTACACAAAGCGATTTTAGGAAATTCATCCTCTTAGAGAGTAAAATTATCTCGGAACAGTTTGTTGTATGAAAATTCCTTACTATTTGGTCTAGAAGAATGAAATCCTACAAAAAGAATTAGAAGAAATTTTTGAAATTCATCAACTAAATGGGTAAAGTTAGTAAAAATTTATATAAAACTTGGTGACCTCTGGATTATACACATAAGAATTGGCACAAAGGTAAAGCGAATTTATGAAATTTATACCCTTAGGGAGTAGAATAGGGAATGAAAGTTTGCTGTACGAAAATGCAATACTATAACATTATAAACCAGACAGTAAAAAATTTTATACAAGGGTTTATTTAGTGACATCATAACGAAATATATCTTCCTCAATTATCCTTCAAAGAGTAAGAAATAACCTATAAAGAGAGTATTAGTGCTCTTAATAAATAAAAAAAAAGATGAAAAATAAAAAACATCTATGCTCACTAGCTCTCTATAAAGAAGTAAAAAATCATTTAAATCAATGCATGAACGATTCGAGGTGTAACGCGAACGTAGTCGCGAGAAAAAGCTAGTAATTTATTAAATTATTTTATTTAACTCATTAATTTTCATTGAAAAGGAATTTTTGTAATTCGCCACTATATTAGTTAAAAACTAAGAAACTCATATCAAATTTAAGTTTTGCGATTTTGACTTATACTTTTTACAAAATCTGAACACATTTTACATGGGCATGTTAATCAGTGACGTGACGCACAACAGCCAAGAAAAACAGAAGCGTGGCTAAGAATTTAGTAATTTAAAGAAAAGTCTTTTAGATACAGTAGTAGGAATTAAAAAGTTTTGTGTTTAAATGGGGTTTGCCTTTAACAGTTAAAAAATTATATCGTAAAGTGTAACTTTCCCTAAGAATTCTTTTTTTTTGCTTGCTTGTTTTACGGATAGGTGCGATCGCATAATTATTATTGATAATGTTTTATTTAATTTTAACATTACTACTTTTTCAGTTAATCTTTAAATCTGTTGTTTTTTGTTAAGTTCGTTATTTAAACATATGTATGTAATACACTCATATTAACACTAATCATATTTTTACGTTTTTATTCATCATTTTCAATGCCCCCCCGGTTGCATCTTTGTAAAGGACTGTGAATTTTTAGAAGTTAGAAGTAGTCAATAACATGTAATTTTTTGAATGTGATTCAGTATATACTAAACTACTTCAGTTGATACTAAAATAATCTTGAACGCATTGTCTTTATTTAACTTACACACAATGTTTTGTTCAGATTTTTCACTGACCATTTTCGAGTGTAAACTAATCTAAATCCTCTTCCATAATACATTGTATTATTATCCTCTTCTGCTGAGTTTAAATACCGTATGATCGAAAAAAATGGCGTCAGCGATGGCTATGAAATGAAGATTGCTGTCATTTTATATGTAAATTTATATTGGAAATGTGATCGATTGTCATTTCCGAGCCAACTGGACGCCGTTTTCTTTCGATCATACGGTACTAGAGCAAGTTATTCACCCGTGACGGAGTTGTTCAATCAGGCGTGAGATTGTCTGCTGAGGATGCCAGCACTGGTACGTTTGATAATTGGTGAGTATTGAGGAAATCTCTGGTGGTGCCATATTGAGGCTCCATACTTGAAGATCTCATTG